AATATCATGTAAAAATATGCAAGTGGTGATACTGCACATGATGTGTTCATACAAAAAGTTACGCACAAATCAAGTGGTACAAAAAATGAGTAGATTGTTATCTATAGTTTAGGAGTTGTTGAATCTGCTACTGAAACATGTCAAGTTAGGCAGGTAATATCTAGATACAATGTGTGAAGTTGGGCAGATGGTTTTTGGAAGTTACCGGTAAGCAGGTGAATTCTGGATACAATGTGGGAAGTTAGGCAGGTGATATATGAATACAATGTGTGAAGTTAGGCAGGTGGTATCTGAATACAATGTGTGAAGTTAGGCAGATAAGATAGGATATGGAAATTAGGCAGGTGATATCTGGATACAATGTGTGAAGTTAAGCAGATGGTATATGGAAGTTAGGCTGGTGATATCTGGATACAATGTGTGAAGTTAGGCAGATAGGATATGGAAGTTTGGCGATACCTGGATACAATGTGTGAAGTTAGACAGGTGATATCTGAATACAATGTGTGAAGTTAGGCAGGTAGTATCTGGATACAATGTGGGAAGTTAGGCAGGTGATATCTGGATACAATGTGGGAAGTTAGGCAGGTGATATCTGGATACAATTTGTGAAGTTAGGCAGGTGGTATCTGGATACAATGTGGGAAGTTAGGCAGGTGGTATCTGAATACAATGTGTGAAGTTAGGCAGGTGGTATCTGAATACAATGTGGGAAGTTAGGCAGGTGGTATCTGAATACAATGTGTGAAGTTAGGCAAGTGGTATCTGAATACAATGTGTGAAGTTAGGCAGGTGTATCTGAATACAGTGTGGGAAGTTAGACAGGTGGTATCTGAATACAATGTAGGAAGTTAGGCAGGTGGTATCTGAATACATTGTGGGAAGTTAGGCAGGTGGTATCTGAATACAATGTGTGAAGTTAGGCAGGTGGTATCTGGATACAATGTGTGAAGTTAGGCAGGTGGTATCTGGATACAATGTGGGAAGTTAGGCAGGTGGTATCTGAATACAATGTGAGAAGTTAGGCAGGTGGTATCTGGATACAATGTGTGAAGTTAGGCAGGTGGTATCTGGATACAATGTGGGAAGTTAGGCAGGTGGTATCTGGATACAATGTGGGAAGTTAGGCAGATGATTGTATTTAGATAATGTGTGAGGCAGGTAATATATGGGTACTCGAATAATGTGATTCATGAGCAATGTAAGGTATTAAAAATCAAATTTTCAAATGTCTGTCCCTTGACAACTAGAGAATAACACTCACCAATCTCAATGTAAGCATTTCTGTTGATAAATTTTAGGAATTTCTCAAAGCACCAAAGACAACACTGGAGGCATTTCAGCAGAAATTTTAAGAACTCATTCTGTGCACCGTGCAATCTAATAAATAAAAAGAAGAATTATTGTTATAAGTGTATGCAGTCAAATCATTATTTTCAATATTACTAGAGGGCCTTATAAGCACACATATGCCTTCACTTTCATACAAATATGAAACATGGTTTGGATTAAGAACATCTAGGGTATTTTGCAGAGAGCAATTGTTCAAGATGGCAAATGTTCAGATAGATTTTGTCAATCAGGTTTTGTTAATTTGTAAATATGCGTTGTGGCATGAAATATTACTGATAAATATTACTGACAGAATTTGAATATTTGTGCCTTTGTGCACTGAGAATCATAATTGCTCTTCCTATGGTATGCGAAATGATGCCTTGTGCAAGTATGAACACACAAGTTTTGCTGTGGACGTACTGTATTTTGCACTAGTTATG